GGGGAGAGAAAATGGCTAATTGGGCCCAATTTGGACATTTTCACTTAGGGGTGTACTCACTTTTGTGGCCAGCGGTTTAGACATTAAACATTAGACATGTGTTGAGTTATTTTGAGGGGACAGCAAATTTACACTGTTATACAAGCTGTACACTCACTACTTTACATTGTAGCAAAGTGTAATTTCTTCAGCGTTGTCACATGAAAAGGTATAATAAAATATTTACAAAAATGCGAGGGGTGTTCTCACTTCTGTGAGATACTGTGCGTAATATATACAGTGGGGCAAAAAAGTATTTAGTCAGCCACCAATTGTGCAAGTTCGGGAGAACTTGCACAATTGGTGGCTGACTAAATACTTTTTTTCCCCACTGTATATATATATATAAATTCACTATCGTTCAGAAGTTTGGAGTCTCTTATGCTGATTAAGGCTGCATGTATTTTAGCAACAACAACAAAAAAAGTAATATTGTGAAATATTCTTACAATTTAAAATAACTGTTTTCTATTTTTATAACTTTTAAAATTTAATTTATTCTTGTCATTTCAAAACTGAATTTTCAGTAGCCATTACTTGTACTCTTCAGTGTCACACAATCCTCCAGAAATCATTCTAATATTCTGATTTGGTGCTCAAGAAACATTTCTTCTTGTTCTTGTTCTTCTCCTCCTTGTTTTTGTTGTTCTTCTTCTTCTAATACAGTTGTGCTGCACAATATTTTGGTGATACAATTTGTTTCAGGATCCTTTGATAGAAAGCTAAAATAACATAATTTATTTGCACTTTATACTTTTGATCCCTTTAATGTTCCCTTGCTGAATAAAAGGAACAAATGGTTATTGGCAATACTAATAATTTGGCCTTGTCAACATATCAGTCTTTAACTAATTATAGCAGTCTAATGGTCAGGCTTTTGGCAGTGAATACTTTTGCTGAATACTATTTCACATTGTATCAAGATGATGAAGCAAACTAAGGGTGTATTCACACCAGGAAAGTCGGCTAGTTCAATTGCTTTGGTCCGGACCAAATACAATGTTGATTTTTATTTAGTTTGGTGCGGTTTGCTTTCACACTGCCCTTTTTGCAAGTGAACCAGTAACTGTAAACAAAACGTCTCCGGTTACTGTCGTAAACTCGGTTCCCTGAGAGGCGGGAACGAGACATGGCGTTAACGCCTTGGGGACTCCCTTCCTTTCTAACCTACCTGAAATCTTATTGCACAACGCCAGTGAAGTTGCAACTCTCACTGGCCAATGCCAGCCAAGACGGTGAATAGGGGCAGGGCCCCTATCAGTCTTTAACTAATTATAGCAGTCTAATGGTCAGGCTTTTGGCAGTGAATACTTTTGCTGAATACTATTTCACATTGTATCAAGATGATGAAGCAAACTAAGGGTGTATTCACACCAGGAAAGTCGGCTAGTTCAATTGCTTTGGTCCGGACCAAATACAATGTTGATTTTTATTTAGTTTGGTGCGGTTTGCTTTCACACTGCCCTTTTTGCAAGTGAACCAGTAACAGTAACTTGGGGACTCCCTTCCTTTCTAACCTACCTGAAATCTTATTGCACAACGCCAGTGAAGTTGCAACTCTCACTGGCCAATGCCAGCCAAGACGGTGAATAGGGGCAGGGCCCCCGCCACTATATACTGCGCCGTATTGGTGGCATAAGCTCAGAATCTTCCGACTGAACCAACAGTACAGCAGACCTGAGCAGTGAACACTGCGGCCTACACCATGTCTCATTCCTGTCTCTCAGGGAACCAAGGTTACGACAGTAACCGGAGACGTTCCCTCTCGAGAACGGTCTCTCGACATGGCATTAACGCCTTAGGGACTGTATAGAACAACACCGTGGAAGCAGCAAAGTAAAAAGGCTCAGCCTCGGCGGAGCTAGCATGAACAGTTCTTGCAAGACACTAAAAATAATCCCCAACCATTCAAATACGACCCTGCGACATGCCTCGAGGGGATTGGATGTAGATTCCCGCTTAAGGATCCAATCAGGTTACTCAAAATCCATGTCAGATGGCAGGTCTCTTATTGAGAGAAAGATGCAGCGCCGTCGCCATACAAAGCTAAGACATTATAGTCATGTCAAACGCAAACAATTATGTAATATAACTGTGCAACAAAGCATGTGAGCGGCAAGGCTGGGCGCAATACTAACACACACAGAGAATGGCCGCATCCAGGGCACCACAGTCTGAACATGACGATGGTCCCGCCCCCGATCCCCCTACATGACCTAGTCGAAACTACCAGCACAGTCAAACGGCTAGTGGTTGCAGGTAGAACCATGGGCCGTACTCACCGACAGGACCTGTGATGCTAATGACCACACGTCCAAATTGTAGAATCTGGCAAAGGTATTCTGCGAAGACCATCCAGCGCCATACAAATATATTTGATAGAAACGCCCTTAGTCCACACCCACGAGGAGGCAACCGCCCTCGTTGAAATGGGCTCTGACACCAATAGGACATTCCATTCCCCGGCTGGAATATGCCAAGGCAATAGCGTCGACCACCCAATGTGATAGCCGTTGTTTGGAGACCGGCTGCCCTTTGTCGCTGCCTCCATAGCATACAAACAGCTGCTCAGATTGCCGAAACTGAGCCGTGCGGTCGATGTAAACTCACAAAGACCTCACCAGACACAACACCTGATTCGGGGCGGCATCCAATGAAGTCTCCGGCTCTGGAGTGAAAGCAGAAAGAGCCACCACTTGTGCTCTGAACAGTGTCGAGAGCAATTTAGGCACGTAGCCCAATCTTGGCTTGAGCGTGACGTTACAATCACCTGGTTCAAACTGCATGCAGTCCACATTCACAGAGAGCGCATGCAAATCCCCCACACACTTGACCAAAGCAAGGGGCGAGCAGCAGCACTGTTTTAAGCGAGAGCTCCCTTCGAGCTACTTCAGACTGTCGGCTTGAGGGCGGAAGGGCTAGCGCCCCCAGCACCAGAGCCAGATCCCAGTCTTCTCGCACCTCTCAGAAATCTGGTCACTAGATCGTGTTTTCCCACTGAGCGCCCGTCGATAGCAGCGTGAAAGGCAGAGATAGCTGCAACATAAACCTTAAGAGTGGAAGGCATACTGCCGCCGTCCATTCGTTGTTGCAAAAAATTCAGAATGTCAGACATGGGGCAATTTCCTGGGACCATTCGATTCACACCATCTCTTACACACTGCCCATTTACAAGCGTACAGGCGTCTCGTAGAAGGGGCTCGCGCCTCCGTAATCGTGACCATCACACGGCGAGACAATGAGCCCGGGTTTACCGGTTCCCGCACACCAGAAGTTTCCACCATTCTGGGTTGGGGTGCCATACCGAGCTGTCCGCCTGAGACAGAAGATCCTGTCTCAGCGGGATCAGCCACGGGGGAGCCGTTAGTATTTCCAGCAGATCGGGAAACCAGGGCCTGTTTGGCCAATACGGAGCAACTAATAACACTGACGCCTTCTCCTCTCTGATTTTGTGTAGCACTTAA